TCTTAATACTGATCTTGATATTTATACTAATATTAATAATATCTATATATTTTATTATCATATTTTGTTCTAGACAATTTTAAATAAATTTTGTAAATTGCAATAAGTATTGAGATATCTATTTATTGATTATTATAAATCAAATTATATATTAAATAATAATATTTGAATTAATAAAAAAAGAGATTGGAATATGTTAACTAACTAATTTAATATTATAAGTATTAATATTTAACTTGATAAAAAAAGGGATTAAAATATGTTGGCAAGCTAATCTGATATTATAAGTAAAGTTATTATTCAAATTCAAAAAAAAATTTTCAGTTTCAAATAATGAATTCCAAATATTTTTCAAACTAATATTTTATTAAGAATTATAATTAATTATATATATATAATTATATATTTTTTAAATTTAATTTTTGTAAAATAAAAAAATTATTTTGCATTCAAATTCCAAATTAATTTAAATAATAACTATAATTATGAGTACTGATATTTGACTTGACAGAAAAATTGATATTGTAATTATTGCTATTTGACTTAATAAAAAACTGATATTATAATTACTGATATTTAATTAATATATTGATCAGTTGATCTGATAATTATTAGTATTTAACTAATTTTGCAATTGCTAATATTTGATTTGATAGAGAAACTAATATTATAATTGCTAATATTTAACTTAATGAAAAAATTAATATTATAATTGCTAGTGTTTGACTTGATAAAAAATATTGAAATATATTAACTTGCTGATATTTGACTTGATAAAAAAGATATTAAAATATATTAACTAGCTAATTTGATAAGTACTATTATTTAACAATTAATATTTTGGTTACTGATATTTGACTTGATGGAATAAGAGATTGGGATATGTTAGCTAGCTAATCAAATATTGTTAATATTAATGTTTGAAATATATTGACCAGCTAATTGAATATTATTAATAAGTATATATTTAAATTAAAATTGCATGATAAATACTTTTTATTACAAATAAAATTTATGAGTGTTTTAAATTAGAAAGATAAAACTTAAGTAAACTTAATATAATAATTTCAAGAAAGTATTCTTACAAATCTGAACAAAAAATAACAAAATTATTTAAAAGCAGTTTATATTAATTAGAAAGTTTAAAATAATAATGATAAATAAAAATAAAAGACATATTATCTCAGAAATAATATCAAAATTATTGAATTTGTTTAACTAGATTCGAGATATCACATCTCAAAAACAACATACAAAACTGTAAAAATATTTTGTACAATTTTATATTTGAGATATGATATTTCTGCATCTAGTTAAAAAATTCAATGATTTTGATATTATTAGATGAATCTTAACTAGATCTTTCTAATAATAACAAAATCAATTAATTTGATCCACTGGATATGCAGATATTTGCAAATTTCTATTTTCTTTGCAGAATGATAAAGAAATTTTGAATGTTTTTGAGATGCAATATCTCTGCATCTAGTGAATCAAATTCAATTATTTTGATATCATTAGATGTGTCTTGACTAGTCCTTTCTAATGGTACCAAATTCATTTAATTTGGTTCACTACATGTGGAGATATTTGCATTTTATTAAACTGAATTTTTCACCTTTCATTGCCAGGTTTGAAGTTTACCACAATTCTGCTAGTATTTCAAATTCCTGATGTAATGATAAGCTCTAAAAAAAACAGAGTGGTGCATGAATTAAAATTATTGACATTTAAAACGATTTTAAATATACGTGTATTTTTGTAATTAAAATCCATGTGTAGTTATTATTTACTTTTTGAGTGCGATGGTAGTGTTTATTCACAGCAGAATACTGTAATAAATAGTAACTTTTTCTAAATCAATTTATTTACAATGACCAAACGAATTGATTATGCTGAACGCCTATTGAAAATCACATGAATTAGATGGAAGAAATGCAAAATGCAATCGAATGAGGTAATATGAGTAACCCTTTAACTTAATTAAATAATCCAAGAATACGCTGATGCTGGTACCAAATGTCATAAGGATTACTATCTTTGCATAATGATGGAGTTATCCATAAAAATCTTGTGTTTTAATCATCACAAACTTAAAATGGCACTCGGAGAATATTTTTGCACAGAAGGGAGTAGCTAAATTATTACAGATTCATTTACTTTGAAGTAATTTTTTGATATGATATCATACGTAGAACCAATGCGCTTACAAGAATTGTCATATCGTCGTGATAAGCGCTCGGACGTCTATTCTAGTGCTCCAATCGTGTCGGGTCAAATCTGTGACCCGACCCGAAATATTTCGGATCAGACTAAAAATCGTTATTTCTCATTCAATATTAATTCACATTGAACGAAAATTTGTAGAGAGATATACAATTATATTCCGAACAACTCTACCTAAGATACAAAATACAAGCGTCTTAGTAAAAATAAAAATTATTAATGAAAAACTATTTTACGATTTTCGGATCATACCCGACCCGAACAGAGCTTTAGTTTATTCATTAGGTGTTTTTTATGGGAGATTGCAAATCCTCTGGGAAAATGCGCTTTCGGTGGGCATGCGTTGATATAGCATTTGCACTTTCAATTTTAAATGAGAAACGAGAGACCCTAGATCCTCAACACCAACAGATAATATGAATCTTACCAAGAGTATTGACAAGGAGATACAGAAAAGATCCAGAATTGTCTTTCATAGATACCATCGAGAAGATAATTATATGTATCAGTTTTAGCCAACGGTGGCTTAAACAAGTAAAACTTTATATAGTGACTGGAACCGCTTGAAAAATCTTAACATTAACGGTTAACCAACCGTTAATTAATATCATCGGTTAACCGTTTATATATAATTCAATCTATACTATACATAATGATACAAATCTGACGAAAAAAATTTTTTCTCAATCAATGTAAAATAAACTCGATACTTAGCATAGAAAAATTGCTACCTTGATAAATCGTGTTATTATTGAAGGATCATACAAATCAACCTTGTCCGGATTGTTGTAAACATTTAAACTTATTTTATGAATTCTATAAACTTTTCGAATAAGAAGTAAAGCGAAATTTAATCCGTGAATATAATTATGAAAGGCTTATTCTATTATATTCATGGGTTAAATTTTGTATTTGCTTCTATACTGTATTGATGCCTTTTTTTCCGATATCTAAATCAGATCGATCACTAACGCTAAATACATGGGCTAAGTGCAATAAAAACGGTGTAAACTATATTATAAATTCTAATACAATTTACACCGTTTCTATTGTACTCAGCCCACATGTACAAAGTTTTGTATTTTTAATTTGTCGATTTACCCCTTTTCCCAGCGCTCATGTGTTCTTTTGATATTAATATGATTTCCTGCATCACTAAATAACCATTCAGAAGGAACAAAAGTCAAATTTAACCGCGGTTCAAATGTTTAACGGGTTAACCATGAAACCGTCAGTTAACCGGTTGATCATTGATTATGCACTTGACATGGAAAAATTATTATTTTATTTTGAAACAAGTTGACACGTATATGCTCTATTATGTAATTAATGTGCCAAAAAAGGAATACACATTTCAACGAGGGTGTTTAATATTAGTTGTATTACAGTGCGTATACTGTACTGTACGTACTGTATTGAATTTCATATCGATATCAATTTTTACCGATCATTTTTCTAATAGTATATACATGACAAATTCAAAATATATTTTTTATAAAATAGTTTAAAGTTATTCTGATTTTTCATCTGTAATTTTAAAGTAACGCGACCAAATAAACATCGCCAACAGTTAAAAAAAGATTAGAGCAAACCATGCTTTATGTTTATCTATGATGAAGTTTCTAGTGTACAACGTTAAAAAAAAATCTTCATCATCATTAGTGAAAATTGATGCGCTCATCTATATTTGTAACGGTAATACATGTACAACACCCTAATCGAACCAAATTTACTTGGCGAAAACTTGTTTTTGCCAACAATAATTAAATTCCGTAGATTACATGTACATGTATCGGTATTTGGAGCTAAAACCGCAGGCATTCTGTTTTTTTTTATACTGTAATATCGAAATGCCCGTATTTTTTGCAATTAAAGTATCCCCCTTATTTTTGCAACAATTTTTTTGTATTGTGCCACACTGGATAATAATTCTTTACTACAATATACTAAAATATCTCCCAATCCATAGGAGAAGGGCAATATGTTATTGGACAGTTGGAACATAGCATGGAACAGTTACAAAATGCTTTGAACATTAGAAAATGCACAACGGTACTTTAAACCGTAAACTACGGTAGTTCTTTGTAATATAATCAGAAGAGGTAACTTGTACCTTATGCATTATAATGGATTTATCCTGCGCGAAATTAATTAACACGATGTCGCAAGATTCAAAAAAGTCAATTGTAAGTTTATGTAAGCTTGAAGAACTCCGATATCGATTTTTCATTTGCATGTACATGTAATTTAATTGCATACATTTTGAACATACAGTATTGCATCATCATTACGTATCTACGTACGTACTTTGTATTGTAATTTTTGTATAGCGATAGAAGCTGCTCGATGGTATACATTAAAGCAATATACATTCTATCTAACGAATAATAAATTATCCCACATTAAAAATAATCCCGCCTTTGTTTTGTCCAAATAAGAAATGAATGATTTTCATTAATAAGAACGTGCATTTCGTAAGCCGATTTAGTCTTTCCCTCTATCGCTATCGGATTATTTAATTGGAGATTAGCACGGACAAATCTAATCCAAGAACAATTAGTATTCAAGCTGAAAATTTCGGTTTTGTTATCACCCGGCTTTTTAATCAATTTCTATGCAAGCGAAAATTCTATGCAAACGAAAATTTAAGCATTTAACTATGAATATTTTATTTTCATAAAATGATTTGTCAATTTTAGGAAGAAAATAAAAATCGAGAAGTAAAAAGAAAGATTACTCTTGAAATTGTGGTTAACTTAAAGAAAAATTCGAATTTATATGACTTGAAATACTTCATATTCTTTCACAGTGAAGTGCTTTGGTCCGTAATGATTTCCATAATTGTCATAGTCAATGTCATATTCATCTTCTTCATCAAAAATATCATCCAACAAACCATATTCATATGATTCAACATGGCAGTATGAGATATTTCTTTCCTCATCGAATAATGTCAAGTCGCATCCACCCCCGAAGCTTGGACCAGATTTAGGCAAATTCCAAGCACCATAACCGCTTTTGAATTGACATAATGCTCCATTACAATCATGTAAAAATCCATCCGAAGAAAAAGAATATAGAAAACTTGAGGTGCCTTGTTCTCTGGTCTTGATTGACTTCCAAGAGAACGGATTATATCCGCCAAGAATTCTATTAGATTCTTTCATGCGAACGACTATAATAGTTGGTCCTTTGTTATCGCAATATCGGTGGAAATCGGCAGCCGTGAAACCATGAACACTTCCCCTCAATAATAGGTTAAAAGTAAGCTGCCCAGCTTGGTTTTGATCTTCTTGCAGGATCCATCGTTGGATTTTATTAACTTGTTTTTCCGTTAAAATGGTGGAATCATTCCTTGTAGCGAATCTTGGAATAGGTGGTGTTAAAGTCAATTTTCTCTTTTGTTTCCTTGTTTTTTTCTCAGTATGACGATCTAACAAAGCTTCATATAATTGGTTCGGCAATAAGCGTGAATACGGCTGGATTTTATTCTTAAACTCCGTTTCATTAAGATTAACGAAGCGGATCAACGGTATGATGTTGTGCAATACTGATTCAAGTTGCTGATAATTCGTTTCAGTCCATTGATTCACTGGCATTTGCAAGTTTTCTTGTGTTACCTGAGAAGTATTGGAAATTCCCCACTCGACGATTTTTTCCCAGATTGTAACTTCGTCGAGTTTTAGGTCGTCTCGTTTAAGCAAAGCTAAAATAGCGGGTTCCTCAAGTTTGGCGAATTCTGGGGAAGAAAATATTTCCGTTGAAAACATACAACCAACATCGGCGCAAGTTTGTTGAAGCTTTACAAATGAATGATGCTTGAATGCCAATTGACAAGTTTTAAAGAAGTTTTCAACAATTGATTTTTTATGATACTCTTCCAGGTAAGCTTGAATGTATTCGATTAATCCATCAAGTAACAATTCATCTGCAGCTTCTAATATATCAAATATATCGAGCAGATCGTGTTCTTTCAAGTTGACCGTCCCACTATAGAAATATCTGTTGCATAACAATTTCTTGAGCGATGCATGACGAAAACTTTTAAATCGAAGTTTAAAGTAAAAACACACCTTAAAATCACGTCAAAGCTTCTAGGCGTGATGTTTGGTTTTTCGAAAGTAATAATTTGACTTGGATCTTGCTTGTTCCAAATGCAGGATAACGCTCTAGCAAAATACGGAGTCTGTGATACCAAAATTGCTCGGTGCGCTGAGAAAGTTTTTTTGTTTGGTTCGACGCCAACACTGATTGAAATATCGTAATAATTCGCACTCTCGTATAGCCGAAGAAGATTGTTGCTGTGTGTGTTTAACAATGTTCCGGCTAATAAGGCAGTCATATTTTCTTGATGTACATGTATTTAGCAATGAAAAGAGTTAACAATTTGAATAAAAGGAGTTCGTTGACACCCTTGAATTTTAATCACACATCACAGGCAGGGGTAATCACGCCTAAATAAGAAATCATACATATGTCGTCGTCTTTTTTCATCGATATCAATATCGATAGCTTGTTACGAAGATGAGAAATTCCATTTTGTTTGAGAAATATTTCATATTTTTATGAATACTAAAACTTTCGAAAGGACATCGTATATCGAAAAATACTTGTCAATAATTAGACGAATGGTGAACAATTGAATTTATATTCGGTAGCGATAGAACCATATACGTAGTCTAGAATAAAAATCATCGTTATTTAAAAACTAGAATTATAATTATAAATTATACAGTATAAAGCCTTTTCGCCATTTTTATTTTATACAATAATTTTGTACGTAAAGAAAATGTGTGTGTATTACAAATTTTTACATGTTTTTGTAGCGAGATAACATAAATTTAACTTATACCGATACGTATCGTGTATTTATATGTGTATGCATAATCTTATGTGTGTATAACGATAACGATAATACTTGTGGTGAGCGATGATGTTACTAGTCACGATGGTTTATTGGTTTTTGTGCAAAACATCTAAACGTAGTAATAGAGGTTCGATTCTCCTCTACTTCGGATTTTATAACGTTGACTATCGATTCGAATTCTTTTTCAGTGATTCCCAAATTTTTTAACAAGCAACTTTGCAATTTTTTCAAGGACATCAACATATCATCGAATGCGGCGACGCCAAGATGATTTCCCCATTGTCCCAGCGGGGTTGCTTTCTCTTGGAATCTCAAATTGACTAACCCGCATTCCTGAAACCATCTTCTGATCTGTGCTCCAATCCTCACGTTGATTGATCCTGACTCTAGGATTTTACATGCTAAAAAATGGTTTTTTTTGTATTGAAATTATTGATAACATTTGTTTGTATTCCTCGAAAAAAAACTTGTACACCTACCACCTTTCAGAACTTTGGTTGTGACTGGCCCCGAATTATTCAATTCGATATTCGTTTCCATGATCTGATAATATCAACAACGACTTACGTATTAATGAGAATAAAAGTTATTAAACAATATAAAATAAAAATTTCTTCTTACCTCAATCCAACCACCAGGTTTTGTTATTCGGACAATTTCATGAATTTGTTTTTGATAGTCGTCTTCCGCAAACAAAGTTGACATCATTTTCTGATAAACAAAATCAAAGTGATTCTTATTCCAAGGCAGACCATCTAACACGTTCAATTGGTGAAAATTGGTGTTCATTGGTCTTATCTGTTTTGGAAAAAATGATGCACTGTCGACTCCGATAAAGTTCGATGTATTATATTCAGTAGCCATGTCAAGAACCCACGTGCCGGAACCGCATCTTTTAAATAAGTAGAAAGATCGATTTAATTCAAAATGATATCAACTACATTGTACGTATAACGATAACATAATACAGTACCAGATATGTTATAGGGAAATAGTTTTCTTCAAGATAACCTATTACCCTAACTTATTCCTAACCCTTTTCCCTATATCACATACGGTACATTACCCGATATGTCACAGTATAGTACAGGATAGTAGTTTTCTCGTTAAATCGTTGGTTTTAGAAAAGATTGAAATATTTACCCAAGATCCAAAACCAGAGCATTATTTTTCAAAATGTCGGTCACTGGAGCTGAAAAGTTAGTGCTAAAATGAAGTAAATGAAATAACTCAAATGAATCAAATGAATCTACATCAACTAACGCAATGTTTACATGTTTTAGATTGAGTATTTTACTTTTCCCATGTTTCTTTTAAAACATAGTGGTGATTAGTTAGCATGTTTATCTCGTGAGAAATATTACAATTGTTATTTTTGGTAACAGAAGAGGGATCGGTTGAAATAGTACTCGTTGTTGACGGTTGATTTAAAGGATTCGTAATAGATGATGATGAATTGGCAGCATTTGCTTGTTCTTTCTGTTTGAAAATGCAGTTTCCCATTATGCTTACGCAGTAGTGAATTACTTTTAAAAATAAAGAAAAACGAGTTAATAAATATATTTAGTCACGAATAAATGTGTAAATATAATGCCGAGGAACTTTATAATAACCTAATGGTAAAAAATTGCTCCAGAAATATAAAAACTTACAAAGGAATGAAAAATTTAGTTGACAAAAGATAGAGAATGTGTTGGTTGTTAGGATGGGCGGATAGTTTGTTAGTGACGACGAAAAACCAGGAAAGTGATTTAGTCAACCTTCTATATCATACATAAGGCATTATTTAAGGTTTTTTATGATGTGTGTTATCGTTACGATCTGCAATTAATTTTTAATCAACAGCGGTAAAACTTTAATTTTTTTTTGCTTACATCTAAAATAGTATAAAAAAATAAAAAATTGATTTCCTTTTTTGGAACTCTCAAATTTAAATTTATCGTTATGCACACAAAACAGATTTTCTTCATTGGATTGTGCACATGTATTTCGTTTGTTTATATTTAAGAATAACCCGCCATTAATCAGCTTCAGGTTAAGCGCTTTGGAAAAGGGGCAGACATGTCGTGCAGCAATGAATAATTGTTTTATATGCTGCCAGATTTATATTTAAAAACAATCAATTTTATTTTAAGACGCTTTCCAAAGTAATAACTCAAAAAAAATATTATTTATTTTATTCAACAATGATGTTTTAACAATAACGTATGCATGTTTGAGAAAATTAAAACATGCATACTGTATAAACTGTACAAATACATGTAAATTGATGCATAGAATATAAATTGATATAAAATAAAGCTAAACTTAAGCTACCCTGCAGAAACCATTCGGTTTACAAGAACGTAAATGTTGTGCAAGTGTATACGTATGAAACACTGATAAAGTTTGATAACAAAGGGGTGTTCCTATCGCTGTCACTATGAATGGATGCGGATGTGCGGATGTTGGTCTAGAACTAGACAATGAATTTTTCGGCTATCTCTTTCTCTTTCCAGATCTCACTCACGTAAAAACCAATAGAACTTTCTTGTTTACCATAAACAGAAGATTTATTAATCTCATCGGATCGTTAACCGTAACTTTAAGATTTTCTGTAAGAAAATTACATGTATTAGTTTCGTGTCACTACAAATACGTTCACGCATAATCTCATCTGATTTGCGCATTGTGTTGACCAGGGATAATTTTTCCGTCCTCTGATAATGAAATTATGAGTTAATTTTTTAATCTAATATCGAGACATCAAATAATGAGAAAGCATAAACTCACGATGCCAAAATCAATCCATTGACAATCAAATTCTTAAATGCCGGTTTATCTACGTATAACTTTCGAAAGTATAAAGGTTTAATTATTAAAATTTGGTAGAAGCTTGATAATTATTCCAAAATTTTGCTAATGAGGAAATATTTTAAAAAACCAGATAAAATCTTGTGATAATAATTGACTTGGAAACATATGCAATAACACTAATGCTCTATTAAAAATCATTAGTAATTATCGTCAACTAATTTTTTGTTAGTTGTTGTACCGCGTTTTTTTTTTGTATCACTGAAACTTTAAGAAGCAATTCATTCCTGTTTTCTTATTCTTGAAACTTTAACGTTAATCTTAATCACTATAGCGATAGCTATAGCTAAATGAAATAAAATTCATGTACATGTAGAACGTTCACCATAAATCTAATTATATATATATATATAAAGATCATCAAAAGACATTTGATCCTGAATGAGATTATATGGCGGATTTGATTCCACAACCGATTTAAACCCCAGCCAAATGACCAAATCTAAATCTTGGCATGTACATATCGATATATATAATGAAAATTTTCCGGGTCCCTGCATCTGATATTGCGACACAACGTCAATGGAACATTTTATTAAATTCATATGTAATAACAATAAATCATTTAATTATTCTGTAATAAGGTTCTATTCTAACTTCCCATTTAAGCAAAACTTAGATCTGGTTGCCGATTTCTTCTTGTTGAATGTTTCCTGTTCATAGTAAGGTCACCACCATCCCACATGATTCTTTTTTAATTGGCTAATATGTAAATATGATATAACACATGACTTTGACCCACTTCCCTAAAAAATTACTAGATAAATGTCTACCATACTGTGTTTTAACAATCAAGATAGACGTTAAAAATAAATTAATTCCTTGTTAAACAGAATAGTTTCCGGTAATTTTAATCAACTACGATAAAAACATTTAATGCATACAAGCAACTCCATCAAACCAAGTCCAGATATCCCTCGGGCGCTATTAGGATTACAGGATCTACATAAAAGTAAACAAATGTTGTATCAGAAACAATGAGGCAAAAGAAAAACCGATATAGCATATGGCTGATTTAGCTCCAAACCGGTTTAGATTAGACTCAATTGAATCGATTGTAGAATCAAATCCGCCCATATGTACCTGCAAGTTTTACCCGATTCTTCAGTTGTGAATCGGGGAGCTGTTTTGGGTCTGATTTTTCGGTCTAGACAATAGGATGTACCAAGAAATCATTGTTATTTTTGCAAGAAATATAAATGAATTTATAATCGAGAAAATAACATAATGTTTTTACAAGAAGAATATAATACACAAGAAAGCAGACTATGCCGAAAAACAAACAAACAGGACTTAAATCTAAATTATCAATCGAATCGCAATTATTGTGATAGACACCAAAATTAACTTGTGTGAATATTAAATATTTTGATTGATTAATTAATAAGATTGTGATAAAGTTATTAATATGACATAAAAGAATTCGAAAAATTTATTTGCAAAATAGAAATTCAATAAGTAATAAATTTCAAGTTTAATATATAAGTCAATTTATATTTACCAAGTACAACAAAGTATTGTTTTTTGAAACTCAAAAAAAAAAGCGTAAAAATATCTCAAAATTAGCTCAACAATTTAAGTGAAACTAAATTAGAAGTTTAGACAGATAATTCAGACAAAAACGGATAATTTTAATAATATTTCTAACTTACATTTCTATTTATCTTTTATTTATACACTGACCTACGATAAATCATCGTGCATATAAAAATTTTGATAGTAAAATCTAGTAAAAATTAAAAGTTTCACTCTGTAAAAAAGTTTTTATTTAATTAATAAATATTTTTTGTTAAATATCCAAATAAAGCTAAGAATTTATATTTCAATATATATTTTTTGTGGATTTTTTAGATTTTATTTCATGAAATTTTTCTTATTGTAAAATATCTGCAAAAAATTTTTTATAATTTTAATTATGAAAATTTTTTGCGGATATTTTACAATCAGAAGAATTTCATGAAATATAATCTAAAAAATCTATAAAAAAATATATTGAAATATAGATCCTTAGCTTTATTTGGATATTTAACAAAAAAAATTTATTAATTAAAATAAAATCTTTACAGAGCAAAAATTTCAATTTTTACTAGATTTTACTATCAAAATATTTATATGCATGGTGATTTATCGTAGGTCAGTGTAGTTGAAATTCTAAATAAATAAATTTATACTTTATGCAATTATATAATATATAATAAACTAAAAAAAATTGTTGAGGTTTATCAATAACAATTGTCGAATTGTTGCGGCTGATGCTGAAATCTGGCTGATACTAAAATTAACCAATGAACTTAGAGAATAAAAATTGATCAGCCAATAGGATGTATTAACTTTAGCATCGGCCAGGTTTCAGCTTCAATTGCCACAATTAATTATTAGCTTTTAAAATAACTAATCAGTTCTATCTTAAGTTAATTTTTTATTATATAATCAATTTAAATATAATAAAGTAATAAGATTATTTATTAGTAAAAATTAAGTTTATTGAGAAAAGAGTTAATATTTTATTAGCGAATTTTTATGTAATAATTTAATTTTTAATGAAATAAAAAATAATTATTTCTAAAATCAATATTTATTTATATATATAATATAATACAAAAAGTTTATTCTTAATAATAAAAATATAATTGATAAAATTATTCTAATTGTATATATTTTTTATAATTAAAATATATATAAAATAATTGACTTTATATGCAATCAGAATTTATTAGTAAAATTAAAAACTTTTATATAAAAAGAAAAACTTGTATTTTACTATATTTAATTAATAAATTTTGATATTATTGTATTATTTTTAATTGTCATTGTATATATAATTAAATATTAATTAAAAAATTTGAATTTGTTATTATAAATAATTATTTATATTTAAATATCAAATTATTTAATGTTTTTATATTTAATATTTTGATTATACTAATTTGATTATCAAAATAAAAAAATAATTTATATTTAAAGTTATTAATTATATTTTATTAAATTATTTTAATAATTAAATCTTTAATTATAGTCAAATTATGTCTGTTTATAATCACATCTCTCTATAATTATCCTATTTTACTTTTTTATTTATAATTATATTCTTTCTATAATCACCAAATTTTACTTTTCTAAGGATGATAACTATAAAGTAATTTGATTATATATTTTATTATATAATTTAGTTATTATATTTTTATTAAATAATATTTATATTAATAATAAAATATTATTAAAAAATAATAAAAAGATATTGTTATCATTATATATATATTTTATGTCTTGTTAATTCATATTTTTCTTATTTTTTAATTGACTTAATTTATAACTAATGAACTAATCTATTTTTAATACTTCATGAACAGTTTTTTTTAACTCTAATTTTAGTATATATATTAAATATAAAGAAACACATAAAAGATATGTATTATTATATCAAGTGGAAGAGTTTATGAAATATAAAAGAGAGAATATGAGTATTCAAAAATAGATAATATATATTTATTTTGTTGATTAGCTAGAATGAGACCAGAAATATTTAAAGATAATTATATTTTTTTAAAAGTTAGTTTATAAATAAGTCAAATATAATTTTTTTTATTAATTCAATTATATATTATTAGCTTTATTAATATAAATAAGAAATTAATTACAAATATTATAAG